TTATTTTCAATAAATAAAAGAAACAAGTAATATATTTCGTGCAAGTATTCAAAGGAATCAGCATACAAAATACAGTTCACTTTAAAACAACTACAATGATGTTTCGCTGTATTTTAATGTAGTCTTAAAACAAATTATTAGCACCTAGATACCATGCGCAAACCCGATAGTAGGCGGTAAAATAGTAAAACATTCTGACCGCGCCAATTCTTAAGTTAAAAATTCAAATATTGAATGCTTTATAATTATTTTTCTACTCGCGTGCGCAAAGTAACATCCGCATGCTTACTTATTAACAGGAATAGAAATATTAAATCATAAAGGCTTTAATAGTATTTTGCTATATTGCTAATAATTGCTAATTATAATAATAATTTATAATTCAATATAATAATTTATAATTCCATATAAATGTAGCAACTTTCCGCACGCTTGTAGAAAAAAAAGTTAAAAATGCAAACTGAAAAAAAAATTGCGAGATTTCCTTGCTTTTAAAAAATCATCGCTTCTTACAAATGCGCAAAGTAATTTTTTAGCACTTACTGCTTGCACGAACTCTCTTCGCATCGTTAGTGCGGGAAAATATAAATTTGGGTACTTGTTAGGAAAATAACTATTTTAGAAAAGAATAACTTTTATTAAAAAATTGAATTTATATCATAAACAAAGTTTTTTCTTTACTCTTGTCGCCTAATAAGAGCTTTGGTAAGTTAGGAATGTTTACACCTTTATATGGCACGCCGTTTTACTTTTTAATGACATCAAAAAATTAACTCAAAACAAAAATTATCAAAATTAAAAATTGCCTAGAAAATATAAACGTTCATAAAAATTACTAAATTAAGTTTAATTATAAATTAAAATCTACTAATTTATTTTTTGGTTTATTGGATAAATATATAAATATATTTACATCATTCTGGTGTTATCTATATTTTTAAGCCTCAGTTTTTGTTGTATGAATATTTTTTTTCTATTTAAGAAAGGTGCTTATATGTAAATAATAATATTTCATTTATTAATTTAAAATTATGTTAAAGTAGAATATTTATTTTGGAATAAAAATTAGACACGATTTAAATCTGTAAGCGCAAGGCGAATTTTCTCGATGAAAAATTCAATGAATTAAAATGTTGTTTAACACTCGTAAACAGAATTTTAATTTGGCGCTAGTGCATAGTGCGGTTGTGTTACGTACTACTGCCTCCAAGCGAAACCACATAACGTCGAAGTACATAAGCTCGAAAATAAATTAGGCAACAGTGCAGTCCAAAATTTTCAGTGGTATTAATAATGTATATCGACATGATTATGATTATTAAATTATGTAAGGGGTGCATTTCAACAAAACTGCCCTGCTGGCTAACCTCACTTTATACGGAATACTGTGTTCATTATTTGGTTAGTTGTCTATGCAATAGGATTTCTCGCAGAAGAAGATATTTATATAATTACCAGAATTGTCCTACTCGTTACGTGTCCGAGCCGACTACCTGTACAGTATAAATAACCCACAAACTTAATGAATGTAATTAATGGTGGATTGAAAATATTGTATTTCTTTTTATCTTTTAGTCAATAAAAACCAATATTTTAGTAAAAAAGATTTTCTTTATTTTTATTTCAAAAAATTAACTAATTAATTAGATAAATTAAGAAAAGCAAAACAGATAATTAAATAAAATGGCAGCACTGAATTTGAATGCACCGTTGCCTAATTCGACGTTAAGTGATTTCGCTTTGTGGCAGTAGTACGTAACACAACCGTACTATGCACTAGCGCCAAATTAAAATTCTGTTTACGAGTGATAACCAACATTTTAATTCATCGAATTTTTCAGAAAATTCGAGGTACATAATATTTATTCCAAAAAATAAAAGTAAGGAATTATTATTCTGTCACATACAAGCATTGAATTTATAATCTAAAAAAATAATCTGATTAAAAGAAATATGGCAGAAAGGTGCTTAAATGAAAATTCGTATTGCTAGATTTAAATAACATAATAATTAATAACAACTATACCACAACTTTATTCCCGAATAAAAATTGTTTCAAAGTGTTTTAAACAACAAAATAATTCGTATTAAAAGTTAATATTAAAATTTTTAAAAATAATAATAAAAATAAAATTGTATTCAATTCTTATTAGTCAAATAAAATTTTAAGTAATATTAAAAACTTTTAAATATTAAAACAAATATTTCGTGCAAAATATTTGTGTGTCGAATAAGAAACTTTATCACTTTAATTTCTAAAAGGTAAATTGATTTTTATGTCGACTAGTAATAATAGAAATTAATTGCGACATAATGATAATTTCAGTATTACTTTTTCTTAAATAAATGTCGCGCACCTTGAATTAACTGGCTAAGAAATTCGATGAATTAAAATTTTGGTTTCCATAATTTTAATTTGACTGCGTGTTTCTCAAGTAGCGCCTTATTAAAATTATCTCAATCCAAATTTTAATTCATCGAATTTTTTAGTCAGAAAATACGCCATTCAGTTCCAGAATTAAAATTACTTTAATTCTTATTCTGTGTAAAATTGTGTACTTAATAAACCAAGACATGATAAAATTTTTACTTTAAAATATTCAGTCAATTTTTAAAAACGCAACTTGAATTAATATTTAGCTTTAATAAACATGACATTAAAAAGTAAAACGGCGTGCCATACCTTTAGGTTTGTCTTTATTCTGTCGTATTTATCATTGTTAATTTTGCAATTTTTGAAAGTAATAAATCTATAAAATATTTTTATTTTATGACATGCGTCTTGTAACAATAAAACAATAGCAATTGTTATTTGAAACTTGTATATATAACTTTGCTTCCATGAAAACATTTGGATGAAATGGCATAACGTTTAAGAATATTGTATAAATAGTCGGCCTTATCACGAAGTGGCCTAACCCACAAAATTGAAAACAGTGACATTTTGCGAGAGTCTATTCCATTACTCCACGAGGTGGCCCATAGTTCAAAGTCTGTACTGTAAAAATACAAAGGCCATTTCGTGAGAATAGAATAGACCATCGTAAGTTAATCTGCGAAAAATCTCAATTTGTTTTTCAATTTTGTCGGTTAGGCCATTTCGTGATAAGGCCGACGATTTATACATTATTCTTAAGCACTATGGCGTTTCATCCAAAGAAACCGTAATTTCTTTAGAAATGCAGGTAGGTTTAATGGAAATGAACTTTATTGGTAACAAGCAGATACCAATTTTTCCTAAAGTTACTTGCCAAGAAATTCAAAATTAGTAAGTTTGAGGCAAACTTACATCGATGCATACAAAAATTGACTATACTGGTAGCAAGCAGTTACCAATTTATCAGAAAAGTATTCAACAAAGAATTCAAAATCAGCAAATTTGACACAAATCTACATGCGTTTCGTTCAATAGCAGTTTTCCGGAAGCTCCAAAGGTGGTTTTTTACCATTAAAGTTTAATGATTAAACCTTGGTACATTTCGCCGTATTTAAATATGTCATACGTTTGAAACAAACGTTATGCCTTTCGCTGAAATAAAACCTTCTCTCAGTGTATAAACGTTATGTTGTAGTGTTTTAAAATCAATTGGTTTTGCTTATTATTTGACTGAATACATATAAATATTAAATTATTGAATTTCAACCCTTTAGATATATGGAATATTCAAGTTTTTGTGATGGAAATTATATGAAGGTAAATACAAATTATTGTTTGATGTACCCTATGCGCATGACGGGTAAAACTTAACCAAGCTAAAGCTTGGATAACCGAAAGTGCACTCTGGGCATGTACTTGCTGTTTTTGAACAGCTGACAGTTGCATATATCCGAGGGGTCAACCACCCAAAGGGAAAACGTCCAGGGATTCCCATATATTCCCATTATATTTTATTGTATTCCTATGTATTTCCATTGTATTCCTATGGTATTCCCCCTCTAAAATGTCCAGGGATTCCCAGGTGTGGGTGACCCTTCGCATATATCTAGGTATATACCAGAGAATTCAAACGCGCAAGGTAAACTTGGAGTGTATCCAGAGTGCACTTTTGCGAGATTTCGAACGCGCTCAGGGAGTGTTTGCCTTCTCGCGTCAGTGACAAGTTGTCACAGTCAAAGTTGGAAAGATTACACTGTACTTGGCCGGTCCACGAGCAATAAAAATCTCGTCATATTACAGAAAAAATATTGCCCTTCTTTATCTCACAAGGCTGTGTAAAAAAGTGTTTTAAATTATTTGGGCATTTTTTTTTATCTAAAAATTACTGTGGCTAGGCTTTGGGCTACAAAGAAAGGGTTGGCGGGCCGCTTGCGGCCCAGGGGCCGCCGTTTGAGTATCGCTGATTTAAACCAAATGAACAAAATATTACTTATTTGGCACCATACACTTTGAAATTTCATAAATGCAGTATTTATTTTACTTAATTCTTAAACCAACCATTGTTATTGTGAAACTATAAAGATACGGGCAGACAGCTGTTTCGACCTATATTGGGTCTCATCAGAGTCGGGCAACTTGGTGTAAATAAACTCCTAAATCCTATAAAAGGTACTAAGTCGCCGTGACTATTGAATAAAAATAAAACATGTTCTATTTTAAGAGAAGTTGATTATTTGCATCGTGTGAACACCAAGGTCGCCGCAACAAAGTCGCTGCCTGAAGTTGCACCGTCAGACACATGTGTAAAGCCTGCAGGCTTTACGCTGACTATTTGACTTTGACAGATACATAACCTAAAAATCTTTTTTAAAAGACTGCGTTTTAAATAAAGTCACGTGGTGGGACTATGGTGTGCATAGTACAAATTCTTTAATATTATTAGTTATTTTTCTTTAAAATATTATTATCTACTTTAGAACTTTTAAATTACCAGGTTCCTGATATATAGGAAATTTAGGCATTTTCTTAAATTACCCATAGGAAAATTTAATAAAGAAAATTTTTACGCAAGCCGTCCCTTTACAAAAATCGGTGAAACGTATGTCAATAAATTTAAACTTACAAAATAGAACTGCTAAGTGATCTACACTGCCAATGAGGGTACTTAAAGTTTTTAAAGTTACATCTTCAATTACGTCGTCTTCATCCCCAGTACTCTTATGTTGAACTAACCATTCTAATACGTCTTCCTCTTTAGTTAACTCTCCTAAAAAATAAATGTCATATAGTATATGCAGTAAAGTCACTAAGTCCAAAAAAATAAATTTTAAATATTTTGTCTCCACAGGTTTTATTTTATAACGTCCAAATAATTTAGAGGTCGCTTATAATTAATGATGGTTTTAGAAGTGTATCTAATACAGCCATGTTATTTTTTTCGCTTAATACTTAAAACTTATTGTAATGGTTCCGAAAAGAAACACCCTGTATAGATTTATTAGAAAACATGTTATTATAATTTTATTTTTTGAATTTTAAAATAGGATTAAGCTATAAAACTTTATTTGAAGGCAAAGAAATTTTACAGATTTAGGTAGAAAATTTGCCAAACAAACAAGAAAGGTACGCGCTAAGCTGAAGGAAGAGTACATCTGGCATGCAGATTGGGGGAGGAATTTCCTTAGAGGTAAACGGAAAAGTTTTTTCGAAAAAGGGAGATGCGGTAGAAGCAGTTTGAATTCGATGCAGTACAGTTCGTTTTCTTTGGTAAAATTGTAAAAGTAAATTATTGTTCTAAAATCATTGTTAAAAGTGTTATTAGTGTATTCTACAAGGTTAGTTCTAATTATTTAATCTATTTAAATGTGTAGTAAAATTAACTAAACGTAATATTGTGCATTTTCAAATTGTTAAGCTTATTATTATATAATTATTGCTATTATGAGTATATTTACCCTTGTCTATTACGTTTAGCTGTATTTTACGTGATTTTAATCCTTTTCTTTTAGCTATTACCAACCCTATTCTCGCTTTTATTATTATCACTATAATTTTAATGCTTTGCTATGTTCAATGCTTGTGCCGCTTCAATGTAACCTTGTATTTTGTTTGTGCTTAACCCATCATTTTGTACCCTTTTTCTATAACGTGGTTAAGCATTGTTTTATGATCAGTCCAAAGTTATTAATGTATTGCGAAATTACTCGGTGCTTAACCAGGAGTGCTGACCGTTATTGTTCCAACTTTGAGTACTCCTTGTTTGTGTGCGTGGGCCTTTGTTGTATGGACTAATATTTTTCTCCCGTGAGGGGACAAGGTTGCCCTAGGTTCTCTAGGGTTGCTTCGCTTTTCCCCGACCCTTCAACTAAACTAGGCGGGTTGCCTCCCATATTGGGACCTCGTTACATTCTGGGCCTAGCCCGGCTAACTAACCCCAATATTCTTCAGTTTTAAATCTTTGTTTAAATGCAGTATCGAGCCATAACGCCAATACATTAATTTGCGTAATTTTTAAAGTACAATGCCTGACCGCGTATTCCTTTGCTACTTCATAGCCGACCAGGGTTTTTTCTCAGGCTCTTTTTCCCTGGCCGAACCCTCCTAAGAGCCACCCCTTGCTTGTTTGTAAAAAGTTAACGTAAATTAAATTGGGGTAAATTAAGCCACTGTATTTTTTTTCTTATAAACCTATTTCTCCCACGTATCATTCTTAAAGCAATGCATCTAATAAAACAAGTAAGTAAACACAGCGTAGAGGTCCAAATTTGGGTAAGACGATCACGAGCCAAAGCCACAAAATATTTAATTTATCAATTTTTCATAAAACTTGTTTTAAACGAACCTGGGGTAAAGAGAAATCTTTACATTTTTGGTGCGAGTGACCAGGATGCATTGCAAAAGAAAAAACTTTGTGGAGAACTAGGTTTATTGCAGTACCGGATTGTCTCTAGGGTTTATGTCTAGGGGCGAGGAATTTCCTAAGTCCGGCACTGTACTCTGTTTATAAAATTCTAATCCATTTGATATTTTTTCGGTAAAACTTATGACGGAGGAAAACCTATGCAACAATTTAAGGAAAACTAACGAGGAAACCAAAACCTTTAACAAAAGTTAAGGATATTCAAGAAGAACGACAAAAGTTGATTCAAAACAAAAAAATCCTTATGGGCTTTTAAAGAATGGATCTGTACAGGAAAAATAAAATAAAACAACGCAGCATCGAAAACTTAAGGTTCAACTTGGAGGAAAACAGGAAATGGTTAAGGAATAGGGGCGAAATATACCGAGTGTTGTTTAAAATGTGGCCCAAACTCGGTACCACACATATCCCAGCATTCGCCAAATTGGTGATAGGGATCGGTTTCGATGCCATTGTATCCTCCCACGTGGGCCCCCAAATTGGTAAACCAAGGAACCGTTGAGTGTGACTGATGCCTCTTAGCAGTCAGTTATTTGGAAGTAGTAGTGGTTTCTCGCATGAAGCCAGCTGCTTGGCCTTGTTGTCTGTTGTCCCGCAACTTGGTACTGTAGTTAAAACTTCTTTTGAAGCTAGCTGCAAAACATCGCAGGGGCACAGCTGAATCACTTATAGTGGCAGCTGAATAAAGTAGTAAGGGCACAGCTGAATCACTTATAGTGGCAGCTAAGTATAGTACTAGGGGCGCAGCTGAATGACTCATGGTGGCAGCTGAATAAAGTAGTAGGGGCACAGCTGAATCACTTATAGTGGCAGCTGAGTAAAGTACTGGGGCGCAGCTGGATCTCCTTTGAAGACAGTTGTGTGGTAAATCGTCGATTTGTGGGTTTTAAAACGACTAGTTAAACATCTTTTGGTGTAACTTAAAGAAGGGGTTTAGGTTAAAACCTAGTCTTATTATTTTTTAGGCTTCTTTTTAGTTTTTTGCTAAATTTATTTTTAACTTTGGTGATGATGTTTAGGATAATGATGAAGCCGGTGAAAGGACGATACAACATATCCAATCTTAAGGCCTACTACCTCCAAAAGGCGAATAACGAGGAATCCCAAAGGGTGACCCGGGTTGTAACCTTACCACGCTAATCATATAGTTTTATTTCAGCAATTAATTTGTTTATTTTGTTTTAGTTTAGAGAATAGGGGCGGGACTAAGATACCAGAGATGTTAAAAGTTCAGCAAGCCTCCCGAGGTCATTTGCCAAGCTTTTAAAGGGGCGTCTGTAATGGTTCCGAAAAGAAACACCCTGTATAGATTTATTAGAAAACATGTTATTATAATTTTATTTTTTGAATTTTAAAATAGGATTAAGCTATAAAACTTTATTTGAAGGCAAAGAAATTTTACAGATTTAGGTAGAAAATTTGCCAAACAAACAAGAAAGGTACGCGCTAAGCTGAAGGAAGAGTACATCTGGCATGCAGATTGGGGGAGGAATTTCCTTAGAGGTAAACGGAAAAGTTTTTTCGAAAAAGGGAGATGCGGTAGAAGCAGTTTGAATTCGATGCAGTACAGTTCGTTTTCTTTGGTAAAATTGTAAAAGTAAATTATTGTTCTAAAATCATTGTTAAAAGTGTTATTAGTGTATTCTACAAGGTTAGTTCTAATTATTTAATCTATTTAAATGTGTAGTAAAATTAACTAAACGTAATATTGTGCATTTTCAAATTGTTAAGCTTATTATTATATAATTATTGCTATTATGAGTATATTTACCCTTGTCTATTACGTTTAGCTGTATTTTACGTGATTTTAATCCTTTTCTTTTAGCTATTACCAACCCTATTCTCGCTTTTATTATTATCACTATAATTTTAATGCTTTGCTATGTTCAATGCTTGTGCCGCTTCAATGTAACCTTGTATTTTGTTTGTGCTTAACCCATCATTTTGTACCCTTTTTCTATAACGTGGTTAAGCATTGTTTTATGATCAGTCCAAAGTTATTAATGTATTGCGAAATTACTCGGTGCTTAACCAGGAGTGCTGACCGTTATTGTTCCAACTTTGAGTACTCCTTGTTTGTGTGCGTGGGCCTTTGTTGTATGGACTAATATTTTTCTCCCGTGAGGGGACAAGGTTGCCCTAGGTTCTCTAGGGTTGCTTCGCTTTTCCCCGACCCTTCAACTAAACTAGGCGGGTTGCCTCCCATATTGGGACCTCGTTACATTCTGGGCCTAGCCCGGCTAACTAACCCCAATATTCTTCAGTTTTAAATCTTTGTTTAAATGCAGTATCGAGCCATAACGCCAATACATTAATTTGCGTAATTTTTAAAGTACAATGCCTGACCGCGTATTCCTTTGCTACTTCATAGCCGACCAGGGTTTTTTCTCAGGCTCTTTTTCCCTGGCCGAACCCTCCTAAGAGCCACCCCTTGCTTGTTTGTAAAAAGTTAACGTAAATTAAATTGGGGTAAATTAAGCCACTGTATTTTTTTTCTTATAAACCTATTTCTCCCACGTATCATTCTTAAAGCAATGCATCTAATAAAACAAGTAAGTAAACACAGCGTAGAGGTCCAAATTTGGGTAAGACGATCACGAGCCAAAGCCACAAAATATTTAATTTATCAATTTTTCATAAAACTTGTTTTAAACGAACCTGGGGTAAAGAGAAATCTTTACATGTTATTTTTTTCGCTTAATACTTAAAACTTATATTTGTTAAATCTTTACATGTTATTTTTTTCGCTTAATACTTAAAACTTATATTTGTTATTGTTTTCTTAAGGTGAGGAATAGGTACATGATTTATTTTTTGTTATTATAAACACTTAATGGTGTTGTTATTACATATAACGTTGTCCTTTAATTGGAATTATATAATCTGTTGGGCAATAAATGATATTTTTATTATTATTTTCACTAAAAAATCTTTTATAAATACAAGTAATTTTTCTAATTTATCTAAAAATATATCCTTTGAGGTAATTCCAAAAAGAGCTACGTTGGAAAGTTTATTTATTTCAGATCTAATCTTAAACTAAATTTCTGAAAAATAGAATTTAGATTACAAAAAGTGTGAATTGGTATCAGCATCAACATTTCCCACAGACGAGCACGACCAATATTTTGAAACGGCAATAGAATTGCACGAAACGTCGCTTCACGCAAGGGTATTTCGTATAATTTTATTTTTATTTAATTAATTTTATTTTAATATTTTAATGTGCTTTCAACAGCCACCAGGCCTATTAACACATATAAATAGATATACCCCCTTCGAACCCAGATAAATCTCGGCATGTGCTGACTATTACACCAGGGTGAGAATTCGTGAAACGGATCACT